TAGTCTGGCTTCAGAGAGAGGGTGAGTTAGATGCCCAGCAGACCAGGCATGGAGAGTGGGAGCCACAGAGACCATGCTGCTCTACTCTGGGGCTCTCCCAGGACCAAGCAGGAGGCTGTGCATTTGGGATGCAGGACTTACACAATGCTTTGCTGAAATGGATTCCTCAGGCCTGAAAAAAAGGGCCTTTTGGAAACTCCCTTCCAAGCCTATCTTCTAAGGTCCTGCCTGTCCTGAACCCTTGGCAATATGTCTTATAACATCTTGCCCCCCTGCAGTTTATTCTCCTCCTGGCAACCAGAATGATCCTTTTAAAACCAAAGCATATGATGTCACTCCTCTGCTCAAAATCCCCGGTGGCTCCCCATCTCACACAGGGTAAAAGCCAAAGTCCTGTGACAAAAGTCTCCAAGGCCATATGCAGCCACATCTGCCGTTGCTCCAGGAACGCTCCTGCCCCAGGGCCTTTGCACCTATTGTTCCCTCGGCCTGGAATGCACTTCCCCCAAATGACTGCTTGGCTCAGTCCCTCATTTCCTTCAAATCCTTGTTCAAATGTCGCCTTCTTGCTGATGCAATACTCCTTCTGACTCTCCCAACCCCCCTCCCTGCTTTCCCCCTACAGCACTTTTTACCAAATGCCATACAATGTGTTTTCGGTATTTATTATGTCTCCTCCACTCCCACTAGAACATCAGCTCCACAAGACCAGGGATTTCTGTTTTGCTCACCACTGTATTTCCAGAACCTAGGTCAGACCCTAGCACTTAGTAGGCACTCAGTAAGTGTTTGTGGAATGAATGAATGAGACTTGGTCTTATCACCTTCTCCCCCACCCCAATGTCCCTGTCTAGAAGATCCTGATCACTTGTTAGGGCAACTGGTACACCTGGTGAACAAGTGAGTCCCTCGGCTTCTTCTCTCCCTGGCTGTCTTATCTCCAGATGAAAGGGTTGGACCAGATTATCTACAGAGTACTTCCAGCTCTGAAAACCTTCAACTGACAAAAAAAAAGGGCATACTTCTTCATTACAGCAAGCCTGTAGCTACATTTACTTGATTATGAAAACTGTGTTTCCTTTAGAATTTTCCACAGTTAAGGCCCCACAGCCTCCACGCTTCTTAAAATAAGTGACGTTTGGCTGCAGTTGTGCTACGTGATCTGTAACCTGCACACTAGGTTAGCATTAACCTCAAGTGCTGGGATCACTGGTCTTGTAAAATCGACCCAGGCTGGGTTACAGGGAAGTAAACCAAACCACAGTTAGTTGTTTCCTAAGATCAGAAACACCACCTCTCCTTGTCCCCCTCAATTTGACACTCATTCCTTAGCAGCCCATGCTGTTGGTTTTGGGGTTTAGCCAGAGGCCCTCTGGAGAAGGAACAAAATTAGGTGTTCTGGGCCAAAAGGAAGGCGCTGGGACGAAAGCAGACCCTGGTGTGATAACACAGCATGCGCGGCACAGCTGGGAGCAGGGAGCGGAGGTCAGAGGGTCACAGGTCCTTCAAGGTCAGTCCCGACCAGGGCCATCCAGCCTAACTGACTTCAGGGAGCCTCGGGTCTTTGTCTCCCCATCTGAAACAGGAACTGCATGAGTCTAATGTTCCATCAAGTATCTACAACTCTAAACCCCACCTGGCCAGTCTAACCCAAGGCCGGGGTCAAATTCACCAGTGGCGTCAGCTAAGGACCATGTTAATGGTCTCTGGACAGACGTTTGGAATGCAGAACTTACTTCTCACACTGAATGCTGGGTCACTCCACAATAATGCTGCTTTGGTCCTTCAAAGATGCTCTGTTAGGTTTAAGGACAGAATCAGTATAAACTCACTTGTGAGCTCCTTTGGAGGCCCTGCCTTTTGGACGAGCCCCCAGCCTATGGCCCAGCCCTGGTCTCCTAACAGGCTCCTCTAACCTCTGTAAACTGATCACTTCCTACGGGGAAGCAGGAGGGCACAGCGGTGAGGCACCTGCATCAGAGGAGTCAGACCTGGGCAGGCATCCTGGCTGTGGTGCTCCCTTCCAACTGGGCAGCCTGATGCCTGTATCCCTCTCTGGGCCTCAGCTTCCTGAGCAGTAAAGTGGGAATCATAAGCGCATCCTTCACAGAGCTGTGATAAAGATTACATCAATTAATAAATGTAAATCACTTAGCTGAGAGCCTGACTAAATGGTAGTTGTTAGTATTATTATTGGAAATGTTTTCTTTACATCTCAAGTCACACACTGAGGTCTGGGCTGGCCCTTCCTGGTGTATATTCTGGCACTGTGGTAATAACATGGGGCTCCATCACTGAGTATATGCAAACCTAGGTTAAACAGGGAGAGCAAATAGATGGCACACATACCACCTCCCGCCTCCCCTGACCGGGGCAAGCATCTCTAATCTATCGCAGCACTCTCCTCCCTCTCACTACAGCCTTGGGCTGATAAGATTCAAAACAGAGCTTCAGGCACCTATGAGCACTGTGGGGAAACCCGCCTGCTGTCCTCTGATCACGAGGCAGAGATGCTGGTATGGGAGAGATTCATGCCTTAGAGAGTGAGGGCAAGGACCACATCCACATACAAGTTATGAGTGAAGGGAGATCGGTCTCCATTCACTGCTGCAGACCCAGCACTTTGAACAGTGCCTGCCACACAGCAGATGCTCAAATATCTTCTGGATGAATAAAGTAGCATCTAATCCACCTGAGTCCACAGCACAGAGCACTGGGCCTAACCTAGCAGGCGCTCAACGAACACGAGAGGGCAGTAGGGGAGGCTGGCTAGACCCTCACTTGAGTACAGCATCACCGTGTAGAGAAAGCACTGGCTTAGGCAGGGTCAAGGCCTGACACTGCCACTCACTCAGCACATGACCCTGAGCAGGGCCTTTCTTCACCATGTGTACAATGAAGGGGGTTGGGAGAGGGGAGGGGAACCTGACAAAGCCCAAGGCCCCTTCCAGTCCTGACATTCAGATCCAGAGAACTCTTCCAGGCACTGCCAGTCTAGGGACTCCCACTGCCCTGCAGGCCATAGCCTCATACACTGTTCTTACACAAGATTCCACTACCAGGGGCCCAGGAGAGAAACACAAAGGATCTGGGCAGCTGCTGGCCACGTGAGTCACTGTCCAGTTTCCCAGGCCCAAGCCCAGCCGTGCAGCCCTCCATTCCAGCCCACACTCCTGACTCCTACATCATGCATCTTCTCCCATCTCACTCACTGTACCTATCCCATAAGCACTCACTGAGCACCGGCTGGAGGCCAGCCCACAGCAGTGAACAGGACAAACGTGGCCTCCGCCTCTGGAGCTGGCAGTCAAGAGGCAGAGAAAAGTAACAAATACGTGGAATAGTTGAAGAACGTAAACTGGCCACGAGGGACACAGGCAGGGTCAGAGGGGGTCAGAAAAGGCTTCTCAGAGGGGAGGATGCAATTGAGACCTGAAGGATCAAAGGGCACGAATCATGGGAAGATCAGGGAAAAGAACATCCCAGGCAAAGGAACAGCAGCTGCCAAGGCTCTCAGGCCAGGGGTTGGCAAACTACGACCACTTGTGTATTTACGTATTATCTATGGCTGCTTTCGAATTACACTGGCAGAGCTGAGAAGCTGCCACAGAGACCTATGGCCTGTGAAGTGTAAAATACTTTCCATCTGACCCTTTCTAGGTAAAAATGGGCGACCCCTGGTTTACAGTGTTAGACAAATAAGAGAAGGTCAGGGTAGCTAAAACAGGCTGAGCAAGGGGGAGACATACGAGGAGACTGGGGAGGTGGGTGGAAGCCAGGCCATGATGGCTTGGGTGGGACACACTGACCTCCAGCCTGGTATCTCCTGCAAACGGGGACCAGAGTGATCTCCCTGAAACACAGGGCTGAACACCTTACTCTTCTGCGCTCTTGGTTTCCCAAAGCACGTTGCAACACTGGCTCCATGGGATAAACCTCAATAAAAGCGTTCCGTAGTTAAGTAAGTTTGAGAAACATGTCATTTCTCTCTCTCTCTCTCTCTCTCTATCAAGCAAACACACCAGCACATGAAATGCTTGGAAAAGTTCCACAGCAAAGAAATCTGTTGACTTTGTTTAACTCGCCATCCTTCAAATTTATTTGGCCATAGAACCCCTTTTTTTCCATAAAAATCTATTAACATTTGAAGAACTAGTGTTCCATGTGCTAAAGGGCAAACGCCTCTGCTTGGCACACCCAGCTCCAGTAGGTAACCCCAGAGCCTGTTCTAGATTTTGAGGGTGTGGCCTGGGGAGCCGTCTCTCTAGCCTCTCCCTTGCCTTCTTCTTGCCTCCAATGCCCTAAATAAAGGTCATCTGGCCACTGCAGCTCTGCTCTACCAAACGAACTGCAGCAGGAACACTAACATTTACACCAAGTTAAGTGCCTGCCTGCGTCCCCGGTGGTGGATGTCTACTACATGGGCCTGTCCAGCATCGCCTTCCCCCATCTTTGGTAACGACAGCCCAGCTCTCCTTTGGGGACCACATCTCCCCCATCTCCTGCCAGCTCCAAGGGTGAGGTCTGGCTAAGCAGAATATTCCATCCTCCTGCTTTGGAGGGACGGGTTCAGGATACGAGCGCAGGACCCAAGCGGTACCGATGAATTCCAGACTAGGATGGGCGTCCCTGGAGTTCACAAGGCAGCAGCCGAGATACCGGATTCAAGCCCAGGTCCTTCTGCCCAGCCTTGCACTTCACCCTAAGTCTCCCCCAACTTGAGCGGCCAAGGCCAGTTCAGCACTGAGTCATCCTTAGATTCCAGTCACAGGTGCCCAGAGAGGGCACCAGGGGGGCTGGAAAGTGCTACCCACAACCTCATATCCTCCAGGGAAGTATGGATACTTCTCAACAAACGGAGCTGGCCTGGACCATTCATCCTTTCAGGTGGAAAGTGATGACCACAGAGAGGTAGCTGTTAGTCATGAAACCAGGGCGAAGAAGACGGGGCGGCGGGGGTGGGGGGTGGTGCAGTAGGCGGCAGGGGAGGCGGAGCATACCTGCTGGCCGTGCTTTTCCTTCCAGCTGCACTGGCTCCGTCAGCCTGCAAAAGAAACCCAGAACACCTAAATCACCCAAGAGGAAAACACAGATTCTACCCAATGTACCCTACCAAGGTCCCGCTCAAACACCAGCCTTCAGAGGGGGTGAGCCAGCCACAACGCCCTACTCCATTCTTCCAGGCTAGAAGTCTGCCCCCAGTGGTAAGAGGGAGTTAGGACAGCCAACCCCCCCCACCCCAATTTGCTTGGCCCTTTAAAACCAACTGAGCACCCACTGCCAACACAAACCCAGCAACCACAGAGCCCCGGGGACTCAGTGAAAAGTAAGTAACCAACTAAATCTGAGATTGAATTGCACCATTTTCATTTTCAGCTGGGATTTCCAGTGAAACAGTAGCTGAAGATTTATTCCTACCAACTGGAGGGGGAAAATCCTATTATGTTAAAATAGTCTGTCCCCCAACCCTGCAAGCAGGATGAGGCAAGAGAGCACTGCTTCATAATCTCTTTTATTTGGGGCTGGGTGATGGGAAGATAAGGCTGACCAAATGGAATTTTCAGAAATCATAAAATTTTGGTTCAGATGGAGAGACTGAGGCCCTGGGAGAGGAGGGAGCTGCCTGATGTCTCATGAGGACTGCGTGACAAATACTCGGGGATCCTGACTCCCGGGCCAGTGCTGGGGGGACCTCGATGAGGAGGCCAAGGACATGGAAAAAACGCCTGGGTTCTCCACCACCCCTGGTTGGAGATGCATTCCCCAGCTTTGTCAAAACATTAATAATAATGGTAATCACAGTTAGAATATGCAGGTTCAAGACTCTAGCGTACATGTGTTTCCAAATTCAGAACCTTTCCAATTTTAGAAAGGCAATGTGGCGCATGTGTTCTCTATTTTGAAATAACCCTGGCAGGGTCTGGGGAGCCCCTGGTACTCAAGCACGTTGATATTTCTATAGTAAAACTTATGCAGTCAGCTCTAAGTGGGCTAAACGAAACCGGGCACTAGCCTCTTCTCCCTTCAGGTCAAGTTCTGCCGCCTAACCAGTTACAAAAGATCTTTTTGTTTTCAAGCTTTTCGAATTTCAGGATTGCAGATGAAGGATTGAGGACCTACAATAAAAACAGCGGCAGCTACCTTTGGATGAGTGCTTTCGAGAAGCTGCAAGCTGGCAAAACCAGATGGCAGACTTCAATTTAAACAGTCGATATATCAAAATAAAGGCATTTCACCCCCAAGAAAGCCAGATTTCAGCTTCTGAAAGCAACACGTAGTCCCACACGACTGGTCAGCTAAAGCTGACATACCTGGTTCACCACAGTCCCCACCACCCACTCTTGCCTACTTCCCACCCCACGGCCTGGCCCCTGCGGGTACCCCAGACTCGCTCCCTGAGCTAACTTCCCACCCGGCGCTAGTGTGTGGGCATTCAACACCTCTCACCGAATCCTCTTGATGGGTTCCCCAACACACATACACAATATCCCCATTTAAGTATTTCAGGCATTTATCCAACATCCCACGGCTATAAGCCCAGGTCTGGGTCAACTCCAATGCCCACCTTCCTCAGCTCTGGAATATTCTATCTCCCTCCAACACTCAGGAGGGACAATTGGGGTGAACACACACAGCCTCCACTGCCCACACGAGGGAAGTGGAAAGGTGAAGGACAAACAGGGAGGTAGAAACGTGAGGCCTGGGAGGGAGCAGTTAATGGGATGCCAGTGAATTATTTCCATGGAGGAAACAAGAAAGCGGAAAATGGTTTGCAAATCATTTCACTGGGAGCAAAAGAACACGATCAATTACAGCCTCTTTCCAACATCTTGCATTCCTCAAACTTGTATGGAAAGCGAATATCCATACAATATCCATACAATGATAATGCTCATATCAGAAGAGACAGAAGTGGTAGGGGTGGAAATTCTATCCCAGAGAGCTTAAAAAAACTGTAAAATCCCCAATGATCTCTAGCCTTTCAAATTTCAAACTGAACTCCAGGCATGTATTTCTAGAATTTTATACATTCTTTTAATGTTGTTTTAATGCTTTTTTTTTTTTTTTTTTTTGTCCTTTTGCTTCACAATTTCACAGAGTTGACCAGTTCAAGCGTGCTGAACATGGGACTGGGTAGGGGAGAAGAGTCTCTCTTTTAGGCACATCTGACCATCTCCACCCATTTTCCCTTTCACTGTGTTTATGATATTTGAGCTTCTTATCACTGGTAGCTACATGCATTTTTGTTTTCCACCCATTTTTATAAAACAAAGACAAAATGCTGAAAATTTTCAAAGAGCTGTCCAAACAAATCCTTTTGTAGAAGCCTAGATGGTACAACTGGGGAAATGAGATGGCTGGAGGGAAGAGTTCATCCCTGCAGGGTGGGAAATGTCCGTTTATTGGCAGAGATGAGAAGCAGATATGGGAAGGGGGGTAGAGATGGACAATGGGCACAAGTGACAGATGCCCAAGAGAGCACGTGTCAATACCACAGCACCTGTCAATCTCAGCCTTCGGGCCTGGCTGAGTCCAGACCCACCATAACAACAGGGGACAGCCTCTCGGGCCCCCCCAGCCACAGTGTTGAGGGCACCCATTCTCATTGTAGAGATCCCTAAGGTGCCAGGCCGGCTTTGTCTGTGTCCTCACAAATATCTCAGAGCAAGCCCTACTGTTTGAATTAAGTTGACTTTGCCATTTTCCTGGGCCCAAGTGGTCTACTACCAGCAATTTCATGCAGTTCATCCCAAACCACAAACTCACCTTTACCCAGTGTAATCTGATCTGATTCTCAGTTTAAACCAAAGTTCAAGAGCACAGGGCTTAGAGTCAGACAAGTCTGAGTTCAAGTCCTGGGTCTGCCATTTTCAAGCTATATAATCCTTGGCAGTTCATCTGCACTCTCTAGGCCTCAGTTTCTTCATCTGAAAAATGGCAATATGCCAATTGGGCCCAAGAAACCGAGGCACAGAAAAACAGTGACTTGTACAAGATTACACAGCAGACGAGCAAGAGGCAGAGCCAGGCCTGGACTGAGCCAGGAGTCTTCCCAGCCTGTCTCCGGGCCTGATCTGAATCCTGGGCTGCAAGTCAGAAGGTCATGAGCATCTACCAGACCCCAGAGCCCTGAGGCCTTCTCCAAAGGGCTGGTCAGAATGATACTGAATGCAGCTATGTAGGTAAACTACTAAGCACAGGCCAGGGATGTGTAGTAACCACTGAAGTAATGGAAACTCTATTGCTGTTGCCACTGGACCATGTGCTCCTAAAGATGCAGCTTCTGCCTGGCTCTGTCTGGGTCTCACTTTGAACCTTGGGCAAGCTCTTTCCTTTCCCTGGACCTGAGGTTCTCATAGGTAAAAACAGGCACGGGAGGCACGAGAGTTCAATCCGATCATCTCCCCCTCCTCTTCATCTCTGATACTCTATGTGGAGCTGACCCAACCTTAACCAAACCCCTCAAGGGTAAATAAAATATGGTGGGGGAAGTGAACTGACTCATGAGAGGTCCTCTTCCTCACTTTCACATAGCTGGGGGTAAAGGTATCCAAGCCCCCCCCCTCACCCCGCCCCCGCTCCCCGTAAGGGCACCTGCTTCCTCTCCCAGCCCCATCCATTTCTAACACACCAGCTTCTTCTCAGGACCCGGGCAAGGCTATTTTTAGTTTCATTCGACCCTCCTCTTCCCTCCCAAATGAACGTTAAGTTGTTCTTTTCCATTCTCTTATTAAGGATTTTCTTGGAAAGAAAATATTATTCCAAACCCAGAAATTTTATTTCTAAATTTGTGCAAATGTAAGTTGTAAGACATTAGCTGCATTTCACATTTTGTGCAAATGGCAGAAACAGGCAATTCGTGTGCTACGGGATGGGGGCTGGCCAACGATTTCGATAAAATAAACCCTTTTTTAATTTAAATGCTAATGCACTGAATTAAAATTTAATAACTGAGGAAATTGAAAAGCCGAGCAGGAATATTGGAAATAAATCCAAGCAGAAACAGCTGAAATTAAAAATTCTAGAGAGTGGGAGGATAGCAGCTAAGCTGTCTTATATGATTACATTTTTTTCAGAATGAAGCAAAAAAAAAAAAAAAAATCCTATCTCTCGCTGGCTCTAGGGCAGTAAATCCACAGTGCTGTGATTTATTGCTCAATTTTCCTGAGGGAAAAAGGCTTTCTTTCATGCTGAAATATTTCATAAATTTCAAGCCAGCATAAATTCTTAATTTAAAAGTTATGGAGGTCACATTTAGTGCACTGGTACTGTTCCAAAATCTTAAAGGAATAGCAGCGACCGAAAAAAAAAAAAAAAGCAAAAAGGAGGGGTAGAATTTGCTCCTTTTTTTTTTTTTTTCCTTTTTTCATTTTGGTTTTAATTTGTGAGTTGAAATTTCATTATTAAACATTCTTCCTGGATGGATGGAACCCAAGCAAGCACATGGGGAACTGGTGTGTGCTTGGAAATCTGCTGCAAAAGATGAAGAGATAAAGACTTAATTCAATTATAAAAAGGCATTTTTTTTTTTAAAGCCACTTGAGGAATTTCTGGTAAAAATTTCCTTCCTTCATTGCCCGGGAAGGGGTGAGAGTGGGGGAGGGTGGCCAATGTAATTGCTTCTCTTAGATCGCCAATCTTTTGTGCACACTGATATATTCATTTGTTATACAGCTGTTCAGCGGCGGAAAGAATGCTGGGACGCCCATAATTCTAAGCAAATCAATCAAAAATTAATGATTTGTCATGCTTGCACAATGGAGGAAAACAGCTCCTTGGGTCCTGGCTGCCTGATCTCAAAGAATGAAATGCCTTTCTGCGATAAGAGAGCGGAGCCAGAGGCTCAGGGAGGCCGAGGGGCCACTGCAAATGTGAGGGCTCATGGACCCGGAGCTCTGAGAGGGTGGAGTGGGCATCTCCAAGATGGTGCATCAGCTAGTCAAGCCAAGGATGGACTTGAGGCAGCACATTTCCCTGGTGGTATAATTAGGATCTTGCCTTTTCCCTCCCCCACTGCAACACAAACATTGCTTCCTCTCTGGA